CCAATATGGAGATTTTAGCTACTTAACAAAGAAAATCATTCCAATCAATTTAAATTCAGTTTGAAATACAGTAAACTATTGTATTTATTGGAAATATTAAATTTAGCCACTTCGCTTGGAATTAAAATAAAAATAAAATCTTCAAGAAAGATTTTTCATTTTTAAAACTTATATATCGCATTTTTAAGTTACCTACTTTTAATTAAAAATTCATGATTGTATATTATTTAAGTTTTGAGGGAAGATTTATTATTTAGGTATTCAGTCATTTATGTGCCATGCGTGATACACGCTTAAATGATCATGTATCTTTTGATACATGACTGACGAGACAGATTTTTTCCCGCAGTAAGTTTCCATTTCATTCTACGGTGGACCAGTTGCCATCCAAAGTTATAGAACCCGGTTTGGCCTGCTATTTACCCATAGCTTAGAAGAAGAGGTCTCATATCATTCTCAAGCGTATTAGCACGTAAGTAATGCAAACGATTTGAATGGAATTCGAACTCGGCTCTTCGATTCCTCAATCTGAGCCGCTATCCATTACTCCACCGTGCCTACATACTGACTGAATGACAACTTCATTGTCAGAAAATACATTTAAGTATTAAGGAAAGGAAAGTATATATTATTTAGGTATTAAGGAAAGGAAAGTATATATTATTTAAGTGTTAAGGAAAGGAAAGTATATATTATTTAAGTGTTAAGGAAAGGAAACTATATATTATTTAAGTGTTAAGGAAAGGAAAGTATATATTATTTAGGTGTTAAGGAAAGGAGACTATATATTATCTAAGTTTTAAGGAAAGGAAACTATATATTAAAGTATTAAGGAAATTTGATTTGAAATTTCTATTAAGATGTATAAGCAGTGTCTATTTTAATATTATTTTCTTCAAAAATTAGGTTTACGGTTCATTGAAATGAAGTTTTAGATTAGTTGATTCAGTAATTCTTTTAAATGATTTATGATGAATAAATTTAACCATTATTACGTTTTTAGACTTCAAAGGATAGTTTGTATTTTATGTATGGGAGAATAAAGAATTTAATGCATCTCTGATTTTTATAGCGTTTTTTATTCGTAAATACATTTTTAAAACTTCGATGTGCTTCTTATGATTCTCCTCTTTTCTGGACATAAATTATGTAGAAATTGACATCAACATTTTCTATCAAAATCAAATGCGTGGTAACTCTAAGCAGGAAGAATCTTACCTTAGAAACATTATAAACAAATATACAACCCCAATCGACAAAAACAAGAAAATCTATGATAAAAAAATTTAATTTTTCTAACATCATTGTCAATAATAATAACTCACCTGCAAGATCCAAATTACAGAGAACCAATATTATTTTATCAATTCACATGTCCCTTAAAGAACTGTGTTCCTGATCAAACCAAATTCATAAATAATTATATTGGATATACTACAATATGCCTAATGTTACATCACTCTTACTATAACTCAATTAGGTCTCATTTAAATACACACGGATACCTATCAAACTCCATTCACAACATACACGTTGATAATACAAATATAATAGCCTCATCCACATGTAAAAATTGGCTAAAACAATAGAAGAATTATTAATAAAAATGAAAAGCCAACACTCAATAATATCAACTATGAACACGAATACAATGTGCTGACTGTGTTTAGAAAATAAAACATTCCTATAACTCTATTCCATACATTCAGTTAAAAGTAGAAAAATACTAATCCTTGATAATGGCTAAAAGTATAGTCGAAAGCGCTTGGACATACAGAACATTCGGACAATTTCTAGATAATTTATCCCCAGAAAAGAAGAAAATTATAAGAACACAAGAAAAATTACGAGCCATGGTCGTCCACGTCCTGAAGGGCTACAGCACATAAGAAGAGTATATACAACACATCAAACCCGAGGATTCGAAATCAACTGTATGTGCTTCTAACTCAAAGTGGCAAGTAGTCACTATATATATTTTGTAGAGTTTACAAGCGAAAAACTTTAAATCATTAAAAAAAAGAAACGTTTCACTTGAAGGAATTTAATAATGGATATGATACTGTAATATGCTCAAAAGTAGCTTCATCCAAAAAGGAAACCCCTACATGCAAGTCATAAATCTGCCACTGGGTGTAATGCCACTAGCGTTTACCGCTAGAGGCCCACCGTTGGCACGTCGGTGAATGCCACCAAAGGACCGATGGCGTTGCCATCGGCGGCACGCCAGCGGGCCACTGGCGACTTGCGTGTAGGGACGTGGTCGAATCAGGGAAAGGTACATAAACCGGTCATGATTTAAGTATACGACAGGAATATGATAATTTAACTATGAAAACGCTTATAAAACGACCAGCTAGCTGCAGTGGAAAGCCATGAGCCAAAGAAAAGAAAATTATGCGCTGGTTTTGCTGCCATGCAGTTGGAAGTGGTCAGATGAAATGAATTCTTTATTTGATAGAAGAAATCTTATTTCGTGTTCAAATCTTTCATTTTCATTCCATAGTCAACTATAAAAACGGAAGTTCAATGCGTATTTCGATATCCAACCACTAAGATAATCAATCCGTTTATCAAACGTGAATATTACAATATATTTCAATAAAAGCTGAACCTGTAGACTAATATCCTGTGTACGACGCGGATATTACGGTATATTAAAGTAAAAGGCTGTTTTGCACAGCGAAAGCTTATTTGGATCACCTATATTCGAACCCCAAACCACGGGGCTACTACTTCTGTAAGTTACATTTTAGTTTTGATTAATGACGTTGCACCGAGAGTACGGGTTATCCCACTTGGCTTTGCCAAAAACGCTTGATAGGGGGCGCTCTTTAAGCCCATAAAAAGATAAGATAGGAACGCTACCGCTGAGGTTACTTGGTCCTCTGTTGATTTTTGAACTCTCTCACACACAGAAATACACACACACACACACACACTGATATAACTAGTTTTAATGTTTTCCCTTTCATTACAATTGTGCACACATGTAAATCCTTTTGTTAATAACAAGCATTGCCTTTTATTTAAATATATTTATTGTATTTATATCTTATTTTTACCTGGACTCATATTGAGTCCGCCAATATTGTTTACGGGATAAATGTCCCAGGAGCCCATAAATATTTAATATTAAAAAAAAAAAAATGATGACTAATATTTCTACTCCAAAATACTAACAACCCACAAGGGCACCTCGGTGTGGTGTAAGTTAGCAAGCTTGTCCCGCTAGAACAGTTATGCCAGAGTAGTGAGCTCGATCCTCCATCGTTGCCCATACTTTCGGCCTTGTGCCACGCTTAAGCAACGCTTAGAAAAGCACCATACTAACATCCTACAACGATAGATACTCGCAAGAAAAAACAATATGGATATATGTGAGACGAACATGTACGTATCTTTTTTTTTCGTTGTTTGTTTACACACCATTTTTATTTGTTGTTGTTGATACCCACTTTATTTTCTTGCTCCGTAGTGGATTTTTTTCTATCGTCAAAGACTTCTTAGGGCGTGTCAGTTGGCAAGTAATGTCGTTTGCGAGAGGAGATGATGGTAGCGTAATTGGAAACCGTCCTGACTAGCTATGGCACAGGCCATCCATAGAAGTAGAATAGACCGACATATTTACCACCTATCTGCGCCTCGCCCCTTTCTCAGCCGCTGGAAACAATCTTCTTTGACACGCACTGAATGTCGGTAACGTAAAACGCCCTATCTGTTTAGGCTGCTGACGCGGGAAAGGTAGGTGTGAATTCTATGACTGGCACAAGACACACGAATGATAGAAAATTATGATGCAACCCAGCACAGGGGGATGTAGACACGTAAGCAAAAACTGGAGTATATATTTATCGCTACTACCACCAAAACTATTCGAATATACAATGATTGTTTCTATATTTACACTATTTACATTTTGACTTTTTTTTGCACTATTTATTTTTTGACTGTTGTTCTCATCTTTGTTGTCGTTATCACGTTTCGGCCATTTTGTCCTCCGGTCTTTATCTGGTGTATGTCGATCCAGGTAAACCAATAGAGAATTCCGAACTAAATTCCTTTTATTTAATCTACGGGGGTGAACTTTTTTTTAATCGGAACCACCACAAACAAGGCAGTAAAGCCACTAAGACACAGAGGGTTACTGGGTGTGAAATAGAAAACAGAAGCATTATTGTGGAACGAGAACAAGAGAAGAATAAGCAGGAAGACAGTGTTCTCGTTCCACTGCCCATATCTCGGGGTATCTCTTCTAGTTCTTATTTTTAGTACTGCTCGTCCTGTTTCTGCTGACTCCAAGTACACACTACCCGGACCAGGAATTGAACTTAAAATTACTATGTCAGCAAATTCACGAACCCACGCTTTAATCCAATAGGCCAGAGTTTCTCAACCGGGAGCACTAATGCACCTGAAAGCTAGCCAGGTGCACCCCAAGTTGACAGAAGAGTAATTTAGCTCTTATTTTTATATTTAAAAAAATCTTTTTTTTTTAAGCTAGAAACAACAAGCACATATCTTCCGCGTTTGTCAAATCTTTGTCATTTGATATTTTATACTCGATGCTAAATTCCTTAATCTTTAAGAAGGAGTAGATAATCCTTTCCATTTTGTCTTCCCCAAGGGATTTAAATCAGTCATTATCGGCTTCTCTAAAAACAATAGCAGATTCTTCGTACATCTCTGTAAATGAAAACTGTACCGCTAATCTTCTTTGGGAATGCTAAACCAAAAATTATATATTTTCAAATTTTATGACTATTTTTTTTCCTAATTAGAATTTAAAGTGCGCTTCAGAATTTTAGTTATTCTAAAAGTGCGCCCTGAAGTTTAAAAAAAAAAAAAAGGTTGAGAAACATTGCATTAGGTTATTGCCAACAAAAGTGAGAACAATCAACCGCATGTAAATAATGGCAACTCCTCACGCTAGAAATTTAGACAGAAGTTGTTTCTTTGCTTTTAAGTTACAGAGTACGCACTTTAAGTCACGGAGCTGCTTACAGCCATATCACGTCGAAACACCAGTTCCCGTACGATCACCGAAGGTAAGCAACGTCGTGTCTGGTCAGTAACTAGATGGGTGACCTCTTGGGAATATCAGGTGAAAACTTGAATGTGCGGGTATGGATAACGGATCGGAATCGTTAATTGGAGAGAGGAGATCCAATTCCCATTGGGTTCGTTATACTTACTTACACACAAATAGCCTCGGGAAAGGTATGAATCCACCTCCAGCTATGAGTTAATTAGTAAGACTTGTATCAGTAAATCGTCATTATCTCCAAAATATTCTGACACACTAAAAATATTTTCTGACTTTAAATAACCTGCAAAAGGTTGATAAGTCGTAAAAAACAAATAAATCAATCAATAAAAGCAATTAACATTGCTGGTGCAAAAGTATCGTAGCCATTAGATCATAGCGTCTAAACTTGGTGTCATCGAAAAAAAAAAAAAAACTACATTCAAAGATTAATCTTCTGCTTGTAAAATTTGCAAGGCACAAGTAGTGTCAATAATGATAATGGTTTCAGCATCAATTTAGATCAGCGGAAAATGATTATAAAGTTCTTGAAAGCACGAGTAGAAACATGGAGAACCATAAACGTGGAGGAATTTAGATAGCAGGGCAAATGAGAATTGGATTGTGTTGCATTTAATTAGATATTCTTACAAGAGCGCTGACAGCCACTTATCGCTTTTTATACACATACGGGCATATCTCTGTGGTAAGGAACATGAATGGAATCTGGAAGGTCTGACAATGCAAATCCAAACACTAATTCCTCATAAACCAGAAAAAAATTAATTTCAAATCAATACAAAATTATTACAACTAAACTTTATTCTGTCTATAAAATTACTGACAATCTGTCTGCATTTTTACTGATGATTATCGTTGTGACATCAAGTATCCACAGATCTCCACCTCCCAGAAAAGTGTACAGAATTGCCATGTTATATGAGTTCTATATGGCAGTGAATGTTGGAAAATCTCCTCACAGATGAAAAGGAGAGCTGAAGCAACATAAATATGCTGAAAATGTAGTATTACTGCCTTATCCGGACTGGAGTGGCCCAATCCCCTCTTTTCAACCACGACAGAGTTCAAAAGCGTTTACGCAGCCCTGTAGGCGATAAATTAATTTTCCACGCTAAAACACCTCTCCTACAAAAGCAACGTCGCATGCCTCTCGCTATCGCTATTTCCATAGCAAATGTTCTGACGAGCTACATTTCTGAGTTTCATCAGTTCAGACCCACCATGTCATATACATAAGGTCGAGCCATTCTTATTCCATTTGTGATCCATTGATAAGGAGAAAGTTCCATTCGTGTAGATTCTTCCTAAGAGCCACGACTTTATGGGTTCCCGAGAGTACAATTTAAACTTCTTCAAATCTAGAGTCAACTATTACCAATCCTACATATCCTCATTGTCTGTATAAACTACCCCGTCATACCTCTATAAAAGAAACTAATTTAGTAACCTTCTACATTGAGTAGCTCTTGAGCCTCGCATTGGGTGAACATTTAGTTAAAAAGATTCTGATTTATTTATATAATCTAACTCATGTGATTTGCACATTTCTCATTGTCCCTATTCTGTTGCGCATGATTGTAGATTGCTTTCCGTGTCAGCATGCTGCCTTTATTTATTGTGCATATTTAATAGAGTCTCACCTCATTTTTTACTATTAATGTCGCTAATTGTTTTTAATCTCTGTCTATATTTCTGAGATGAGATATTGTAATTATTTATATTTTTAGGACTGTTGTCCTCATCTTTATTGTCATGTTCACGATGTTTCGGCTGTTGTACGTTCCGGCCTTATCAGCTGATTGGAATTACGTACTGAACCCTTTATTTCGTTCACAGGGGTAGATTCTTCTAGTTCCATGTGTCATGCCTGTTCCAGATGTCTCAGTTATCTCCCTTTTAACTCAACTCTCCAAGTTTTGTTCACCACTGCCGTAGCCAGGTATTGAACTCACAACTCTTTGGGTCAAGTCATTGGATCCAACCAACGCTTTTATCCACTGGGCCAAAAGGGCGATAACTGAGGCACCCGAAAGAGACATAACACGTGGAACTAGAAGAATCTACCCCGAGGAAGGCTGCAGTTTACAAAGGCCTATACGTCGTGAACATGACAATAAATTCTACCATCTTGTATCTATTGAATATTTCGACAAAGGGTTTAAATGATCGCTCAGCAATCAGGCGTATCTAAAGTTACTCTAAAATCATCCCTAAAATATACTTCTTTTTGATTGGCTGAACGATTTATTTGATTTGCTTTTCATGGCATATCAACCTTTTAAGGTTATTTAGAGCATATTTTTCGACTGTAAGAATTTCTTGGAGGTAATGATTTTTTGATAAAAGTCCTACTAGCTGAGAGGGCAAGAGGGGGTTTCATGCCTTTCCAAAAGATATTTGCAGAGTTCGAACAATGTAAATAATGTAAATGTTTTTTTTAATTTGTTGTGTACTGTTTTGTAAAACCATTTTTTTTGTCATTATTGCGCTGTAATTTCTCCGATTTAAGGGTTTATCATAATAAAAACAATTTGAAAACTAACCTCGATTTTTTAACTAGGTAGAAGGTTACTATTAGCCTAGGAAGGAACAAGCGTTAAAAATATAGAGTTAAAGCAGACTTTAGAAGGAACCGGAAACTCGGTCCTAAACAGGAAACATAGGATAAACCTCTACTCCTGTACAAAAGACCGGGAGGAGTATGAGCCAGACGATAAACGAACCTAGCTAATTGAATTAACCACTATGATCTTTCCGGGTATTCCTCTCCACAGACATATATCTTTACTTCTTTTAAATGCACTAAGTCAGGGTTAACTCAGCAAATGAATAAATAACGATAATGTGTGCCACGTTCAGAGCCACGAACAAATAGAAAAAAATTCATATTTTCGTTCTTTGAAAAGGTGTATTTAATCGGTGGTAGCGAAATTCATGTCACCTCAGATCGGCAGAGAATTTTCGATTCATCAGAGAGAAGCATATTGAAAATGTCTTCTTAGGCTTGCTTCCTACAAAAAACAGAATTATCCATATCATTTGACGCGAGCGACTGGACGATTGAAAAAAGCGAAATAAATGAATAAAGATGATAATAAAATCTCGGTTCTTTCAAAACGAGGTTTTCTTTCTGTGAAGGATTCTGATATGAAATCAATTCAACAATATTGATCATATAATGATTTGTTGATTGTAATAAATCTATTTATTATCAGTCAGCTTTTATATTGAATTTCGCTAAGGACTCTAACGGAAAAAAATATTGATAATACATTAATAATATCATTTTTATTATACGACTCACCTTAACACTGTAATTTAACTTTCCAGTCTCGTATGTTCCAGTAGGGCAGGTTGATTTTTCACGTTTTGTTTTTGAAAATCAATATTGCGCAAGATATGAAAGCTCGGGGTTTGATCTGATAAGTACTGACACCAAAAATTGAATTAATAGCTTTCACCAATTTTTGAGCATTTAATTTTAAATATCGTCTGAAAAAATGTAGAGAAATACCTAAATTCCACAGCTTGTTGCTTACAAACTGACTTCAAAATTTTACTATTTCAAGAATAAATCCAAATAAAGTTACTATCTTTTGTATTAGATACATTAAATGTAAAATATATTCAAACCAGAACTCTATTTATGAACCACCACAAGTAAAATATGTTATATTTTTACTGTATTCGATAAATAAAAACTGTGTAAAAAGATTACAAAAACGGTTAATCAATGAATAAGATTTGTTAGATCATAATTAATAATCATAATTAATAATTATACTTAATGATAGATCATTTGTTAGATCATAATTAATAAAAACAAAAAATAGATAAAAGTTTATACAACACCATAATACTGCTGGGCACAAATTATGAGATAAAATCTTTTAAATTGTCATTGTTTATTGAAAATCACACTAAAACTACAGTACTGTATAACATATTACATCATAATATAGCTAAATTGTTCAGTGAAATTTCCCTTTGAAGTAAATTAAGGTCTTATTTGATGGCACAGTGGTGGAGTAATAATGTGCTTGTGTAACGCATCTTGACCATATACAATTTGTAAAGTTTCAGTAAATTATAAATTTTATAAGGTTGTGCAATAAGGCTTTCAAATGATCACCGGAATGAAATTCCAACGCTACAATTTTGAATGATCACCGGAATGAAATTCCAACGCTACACTTTTGAACCTAAACGTAATCTTTAAACTCATTTCCTCAAAAAACTTTAATATTTATAAAACAATATTTTTGTCGTTATTTCACATGTAAAACCCCCCAACTTTCAAATTGAAAATGCTCCAGTATAGTTATTTACTCTAAATTCGATATTTTAAATTCTTCCTCTCTTTCGGGTCGTCACTGCGGATCGAACTCACTGCACAGTAGTAATGGTTTGCCAGAATATCTTGTTAACCATTATCTCACGGCCAAGTGACCGAGGACATTGACATTTGATTACGGTACAGATCTTTCAAGACGAGTGAGGAGAGGGGACCAAACAGTTAGTCATGATCCAAAGCAGAGGTGTCGTTCCACAGAAAGATTCTAAGAATATCATGGGTAGGGCATGCGAACAACGAGGAAGTTTTAAGGAACATGGGAAGGAAATGGATACTTGTGCTTACAATCAGAAAGAGATGGCTGAAGTTTCTAGAACACATAATGAAGAAAGCAGGCCTGGAAAATTTAACGCTAACAGGACATAGTGAAGGCAAGACGTACAGAAAAAAAACTGTGAGGGGTAGTAAAGAGACAATTATTCGTAAGCGATACAAAGGTGAGGAAGTTGTGGAGAGTCTGATCGCCCACGTTCTGGAGAGACATGGCACAAAAAAAAGAATTAATATGTTTAGTTCTGTAGAACCATATTTATTGTTTAGAATCTAATAACATTTTAGATAGTTTTCTGATAGCAAACGGGCATTTATATGTTTGGAAATTCCTTGATATTAATATCTTTACTTCATTTGAATTTCTGTGACAATGTTCATGTTTTCATCCAGGCTTGAGTAAATTTTGCCGACATAGATTTTCCTTGGTAAACCA